ATTTGTAGCAAATTTGAGCGGAAGTGTAAATAAAGGGGGGAATGATTTTCTGCAAACATTGGTACAACTGCAAGTGAAGCATAAAATGGCAATGTCACTACCACAACATGTAATGAAGAAAGCAAGTCGAAGGTTGGAAAAAAATTATGATGCCACATCATATGCCAAAGAACTAACAGACGCATCGAGACTGACAGAGAAAATTGTGAGTACAACCAAATTCAATTATTGTGTGGGATAAGCAGTATCTGTCAGACAACCAAACTTAGGAATAGTAGAAGACAAACGAAGGGGAAAACAAAAGGTGAAGAGAATTGTGTATGTTAAGAGTGTTAATATTTATTTCTGTTTGTGGAACCAGCCGATGTTACAAAGTGTAGATAGTTGCCTCAAGTTGAAGGGGCGTGCGTTAGATTTATAATGCTCAAACAGATGTAGTCTATTTGTTTGTTTTTATAAAATGCAATTTCTTCTGGTGGAAACAATTGCAATCTACCCACATTAATTCTTAGTATCATGTCCGCTACTCTGAGAAAAAGAATTAGGCATATTTGCGGCACAATAACGGTGTTTGGTATTAGTTCTCAAATAGTTTCAGTCTTGAATCAAACTTCATTTCCACAATGACCGTAATATATAACCGTTCACCGTTGTTACATTTAATCACTTCATTTCCACAAAAAACGTGCAACCCGTCGCTCTCTTGTGTTGTATCGGATAGTGTACAATTTTTCCCTTGTGAAGAACCTTCCAGGTGTTATCGGCAAATTCAGATGTTTGTGTGTACACATAGAATCTAAATGTTCCTTCTTAACCGTATATAAGTACAGTTTAGTGTAATATAGTTTATTATAGATCTAGTATGGGAGAGCATAATACAGAACTTTGCCTCCGGAATTATGAATACAGAATAATAGAGTAGAGTCGATGTAGTATATAAGAGCATATTAGAGAGCTCTGCCTTATCAATTTTAAAATCCGCTCCTCTCTTCCCTCTCTCTTTCTGTCGCAATGCGTCTGTCTGTCCTTTAGTGATTATATGCTACAGCGTAGAAATATGCGTATTTGTTATTCGCTTCCCCTCGCAGCATGACCTCCACAATCACCGCCACGGTCGCCACCGCCGCCCCGTTGGCCGCTGCAGGCTTATTGAAGATAAACTTCCAACCATCGATAGCTGGCTTTTGTGCGGCGGCGCCCGCGCCGTTTGTGTCAATGTTTGCGCTCGCGCACTTACGAGGTCGGCGATCAGCCATAAATTATAATTCGCGTGTAAATCTGTCCGAATCGCCGGTCGACTGCGCGGAACGCGGCGCGGGCGATAGCGCCAACCAACTGCTTCGTGCTTCGCCGGCCGCTCACTCCGCGCGTCGTGCTCTCCCGGTGCGGTGGCGCTTCGGCGCGGCGCGGCGCGCGTTTCGTGTGTCTTTGATCACGTGCGCGGACCGTTTTGCGTTCTTAACGGGCGAGGCGACGATTAACTCTTTCAGCCCTGAGCCTGTAATGCAGTGTTCATTCCCGAATCCTGGCGATTTTGTGGCGTTTTGGGGGAGTGATGCATTTATATTAGAGATAGGTGTATGAAATTAATGGCACTTAAAAGTATGAAACTTAACGATATGGTGATTCGGGATGTGTATTGAAACTCACACTATCATTTTGAAGACAATTCATTTTTTTATTTTCTATAAAAATGTGTATCTGTTAAATATAATATTGAAATAAAATTTACACACGAAAGCGAAGGCTTCTGCGAGCGGAGCCAATATATTCTTGAGTGTCCCTGAGACGCCTCGTCCCCGATTGTCTTTGATCACGTGCGTGTAGCGTTTTGCGTTCTTAATGCGTCGGATAAACTTCTGATTTATTCGTGTACGCACCAGACGCAAAAACAATAAAGATCATGTATCCACACGCACTCGAATACATAAATAGAATAAAACGATACCTTGAAATGTATTCCATATGAAAATGAATACGTATCTATAAAAATTACACAATGTTAATGAAATGTTATCCTAATGAGTTTCCTTGAATTTCCTTCTGAGATCGCAGCGACACGCGACGGGTAAGCTAATATTAAATGTAATATTGAAATATAATTTAAACATGAAAGCGTGTGCTTCTGCGGTCGGAGTCAGTATATATTTGGCTGTCCGGATGACGCCGTTTCCCAGTCACAAATGCCGACGTTTCGCCCGTCATACGAAACGTTTCTTTACCGCGAAATGCACTGAGTTGGACTGAAACATTGAATTTGTCTCGTACCTTTGATAATTGTTGCGAACATTTTATGTTAAACCTCAGTACACGCACCGCGAACAGAAGGATCTGAAAATATTAATTTATGAGAAATAAGAGGGAGGGTTTCTAAAGCGGTTCTATGATATGGGGTTTTGAATAGATTCAGTTTATTTCTTCTAGGTTTGATTTATTTTCGTTAAAAAATAATGAAAAACGATCACGTATAAGGGAGAAGTATAATCTGCGCACATTTTCTTAACCTAAAATTATGAATGGAAAATGCTGAAAAATAGAAATACATACGTAAACGTGAGAAATGTTCTAATTCTAAGTGTCAGAGTCGAGTATCTACGCGTATCTATGATTTATATTGAAGGAGAGTGGAAATCCTTTCACTGTATGCAGATTTTCGGTTCACTATCCCTAAGTTTATAAAATTGTATTGAAAAAATGGTTTAACATTTCTTTCACGAGCTACTTCAACAGTTTTTCAAGACAAAATATTGGGAAAAGTAGTGTGCTGTACAATTCTTCATATACGTACATTTTTGATAAATATTCTACAGTCGCTGGTACTGAAACCAAAAATTAAACCTTTATTTGAATCATCTACCGCTGCCTGGAGAGTTCTAGCGTATGTCTAGATTATCAGTAGTTTTCCGTTGTTTCTCAGTTCAATGCCAGACGAATAACGAAGCAAAATCCGAACAAAGGCCACGATCCACGCGCGATATTTCTTTCCTCTTCATTGTCTTATCCTCATCCTTTACTTACGCTTCACCACCCATATGTTGAAAGACGAGTAGGAAGCATAGGATTTGTCTCGGCTCTGGCGTTGCTCCGCTGGTGGGCGATACCTGGACAGTGAAAAGCCAACCTTTGTAGGTAAGCGTCGGATGTCTCCAACCAGTGGAGGAAGAACACCGCCAACGTCCGTAATAAAACATGCACTACACTTACGAGACTAATGACCTTAGTTTTTGACGCGACTGGAAACTGGATATAATCATTCTTTCTGTTTGTGATGAAGCTAAAAAGTAATTCGTTTATACTTCTATTTTAGCAGTAATTTAAATTTTATTTCAATGTTTCAAAACACTGTAGAGTGCGCTTCACTGGAGTGTAGAATGCAGCGATCGTCATAGCTGCTCGTGTGTTCTGACTGGCCCAATGCTTCAGTGGATGCTCACTCAACACATTATGATGTGCCGGTGCCGCTCTGGCGCTCTGAGTTCGGAGCGCGTTATGTGCCTTTGATCACGTGCGCGCTGCATTTTGCATTCTTAATTGGGAGGTCGATTAAGGGTTGCTACTTTTACGTAAGCGATACGCGGTGTACCGTTCTGGCCGCTCACCTTCCATCCATGCGATCGGGATTCAAATCCCGTGTGGATCCATATGGAATTTGTGGTGGATAGAGCAGGATCTCGTTCGTAGGTGTTTTAGTGTTTCTGCCGATTTCCCTATCACTATTTTTATAATTCGTCAATTATAATTTGTATTATATTGTTCGCAGGCTGCAATAGTGGCATAAGTAAAAAGTCATCTGTTGAGTGAAATGAGTTTGAAGTTTTAACTTTGTATTTACATGCACCATTCTTGTAGTCATACGTCTGCTATTTGTTGGGTGGAATACTGAACTGTGCCCTAAGACATGCTGCTGGAAAGTAGACCAATCTGTTATTCTGGAGAGTGCATTTACTAAAAATTCGTATTATTGCAGTCCTCGAGCGATATCTTCAAAGTCCCTGTCACTCAAATCAGTCATCCATTCTAGTTATGGCTGTAGGGCTTAGGCATTGTCATTATAATAAATATTATTTCACTTACGTATCCTATTCCTAGTTCGTTGAACGTATTTTTTCAGAATATTACTTATTAAAGAATAATTTGATTTTTTAATTGACAGAAAGATTGTTGATCTTGTTTTTTCTTAGAAGTAATACACTCACGATCCATTTCTCATTCGTAATTCACATAGATTATCGAAACATCCTGGAATTGTGATAAAATTCCTTTTTAAATAGATAAGGATATATTATTTTTATTATTATTTTGAAACATTTCCCTATAGTCAGCATACTACTTGATGTGATATACGAATTTCATGTAGACGTTTACATTTCTCCTTTTTGATCTGAAAAATCGTATTTTCTTAAGTTAAAACTATGAGGTAGATTAAGTTATGTTATAACATATAAATTAATGTTTGCCCTTTCATTTGAAGGTAGATATCTTGGAATACTTGAGACGAAAAAAATGTAGACAAATTCTCAAAGTGCGATCTCTTTTTGTTTAAGACTAATGAAGTTAAGATAAAATAGATTTTTACATCTACATATGAGTCACATGTCTCTTTTATCTCGTGAATGGTTCATTTTATGTCCTCAAGGGTGCAGTGAATTGACAGATACTTCTGTAATTTCACAAACATCTCCTTTGTAGAATGTTTCCCTCTACATGTTTATGTTAAATTAATTTCTTATTACTGTTGTTAAATAATAAAATAGAACTTGAATTTAGAGTACAAGCGCGAATAATTTAACAAATGCTAACAGCAAGTCTTCTGCCTCATAAACTATTAACTAAGAAAAATACCGCCAGCGCTTGGGAAGTTGAATTGTAAAAATGAAGTAATATACTACCTTCATCAACCATTTGCACGTAACAATGTTACAGCAACAAGGGGAATTCGCAGCAAAAAATCGATAATGTAAATCTCGGGGAGAGGGCTAATAGTGAGGAGAGTCGGAGCAATGACGTCAAGGAGCAGGCGGAGGAGGAGAAGAAGAGAAAATGCGGTGGAGGAAATGGAAATGGAGAGAGGGAAGGGGGAGGAGCCACCCGGCATCCGTCTCGACGGGACGCGCCATGCGGAAACAAGCGCGAATCAACAGGCGCACGTAATGCAAACGAATGACCTTCCTCGTTGGCCTCTGCACCCCGTCCCCCTGCCCCCGCCCCCGTCCACGCCTCGCCCCGGGCGGCGGGCGATGAAGACGGACGAAGAAGGCTCGGGAGCCGACGAAAGCGGTTTAACCCCAACTCCGAACTGCTGCGACAGCTCGGTGGCAACAGCGTCGCTCTCAAGTAACGTAGGTCGAGAGTTCGAATCCTGACGGTTATGAATTCTATTGTGTACCTACCTAGCTGGAATAATAGTTATACTATTGACTGCAGGAGATTTCTAGTTGACGGCTATTCTGATCGGTAGTTTCCCGTGCTTTCTGCGATAAACGGCAGAGGAATATCCAAGCAGTACCCCAAGCACGTCACAGAACACACGATTGCTCTTTCCCTAATTCTTATCTGCTCACTTCTTACACACACACACACACACACACACGTAAACCTTTGTATCTGCACTACTGTATCACACATCGAGGAAGGGATGGTTCTTCAGCTTATGCTTATCCAGTGCCTGTGATTGGGAGGTCAAAGATAGGGGCATGAGACTCGACTGTGGCAGTACTTTCAATACTAGCTAGATGAATTGGTAGAATTCAGCCACTGTATGGGGGGGGGGAATTCTAGCGCCCCGCTGCTCTAATCGGTAGTTTTCCGTCATTCCTTCGACCAATACCAGGCAATGCCGGAGTAGTACGCTAACAAACGGGCCATGGACCGCTGAGCGATCTTACCTTTCTCTTCCTTGTCCTATCGTTACCCCTCACACACGTACACTAACATGTACTATACTACCACACTTGTCGGGATAAGTTGAGAGCTTTGAGCTTGTCCCGACTTGAGCGGTGCCAGGTTGGTCGAATACATCTGGTTGAAATACCTGGTTGGGAAAAATCCCCGCAAGCCGACGTAGGTGGCTCTCGCTTATCTCTCGCTCTCGCCGTATCTCACTTCCAGTGGGGGAAGTTCACCGTCACCTCCGGGAACAAAAGATGTGGAACTAATGATCTTAGCTGTTTACGCGCCCGAAATCACTAATTAATTAATCAATCAAGATAGGAGGAAGACCAGTGGGGAGCTGAGAGCTTTACCAGGCTGGGACGGTGTCCCGGTGTTTGCAATTGGGGAAGCTTGCAAGGCGAAGATTATTTCGTCGTCGGATCTCTAATTCCATGAACGAATGTTCTCCGCTATCTCACGGGATAAAATTCTAACCACGTATGCGGGACTAATGATCTTAGTTGATACGTCCGGAAGCTGCATTTACTCACTGGTGGTCCCAACATCAAACCGTATCCTCGAGGGGAATGTTTCATTTGAGCAACTAACTTCTCACATGTCACATATGGTATCATTGAAATTAAAGGCATCAGATGGGATTATTTCATTTTTCGGCATAAAATTAGACATGACCATGTGCCTTTAGACTTCCGATTTTTGTCTTTTTAAATAGTATTGCATCTTTACTGTTCATGCCTCAAAAGCGTACTTGTAGTTTGTGTAATATAGACACATTTTGCTGTATAATCAAATGCCAGTCTGGAGTTGAATTGGACAGACTTTCGCATTGGACTCCTCTTGGTCCCGTAAATTCAATACTTTACTCTGACATGGACTTTGCCATTGTATTCCTCACCCAGCACACGATGAATACAAAGAACGCCCTTAGTGCTGGCGAGGACGTTTACACACTAACCCTTGGTCTTCGAACCCCAACAAGCAGCTTCGTCTGAGCGATAACACCGTTAACACTTTTGAAATCATATTTATTTGAAAAGGATTTACGAACGAAACTGACAAAATTACTTTTTATTTAAAAAATACATTCATACATTAGATTGCTAAAGTTAACTTTTAACAACGAATCAAGTAAGTAAATATAGTCACACATTATATACTATGTCTCACAAAAAGTGACAAATCTCTAGGGCATGTAGGGGGGTTGAAAAAGCTCCCTTTCAACCAAAGAATATCTGGGGATAAATATCATACAACGCAGCTACTCATCCGGTATATGCCTCCTTTTGACAGGCAACTCATCAGGTACTGGTATTAGGTGATGCGCTTTCTAACTCAATTAAAGAGATTGAGGCTACGTGCTTCACCTCAGTCTAAGAAGAGTCATTTACCGACAAGGGAAAATACCACATGTGTAACATCGTTTTATGAACACCCTCCCCCATACATCATTGTCAGAAAGTGGTCATCTTAGACATCTTTTATGCAGAAGATGTTTGTAACATTTATGAGGAATTGCCTGTATTAGTGAAAGGCATGCCTCAAAATAATAAGTGTCTCTTGATGCAGGATCGAGGAGATATCATCCACAAAGTATATTAGAATATAATTTAATTTTAATTTTTAATTGCAACACATGTATTTCGGGAACAATTTATCCCATCTTCAGTGGCTCTAAAGAGACGAAAATAGGTGAATAAATATCATTAGCTAAAGAAACTATATTGAATCCACGCATACCACCAAGGAAATGTGTCTGTCAGGACCGTTAACAACAATAACACAAAAACAATCCACAACGATGTTGCTGGTGAGCTATCGCGGTCTGCGTGCATCCCGCATGACCCGCATCGCCCTGCAGACTGCGGCATGAGCAATGATGTCGCGCGCGTGGGCGGTCGCGGGCCGGCGCGTCGCGCTGCCGGCCGACCAGCGCAGCGCGGCAACGAATTTATTATTGACTTGGCAACGACAGGGCGGCCGGGCGAGCGAACGAGCGACCGAGTGAGCGGGGCCAGCTGGGCGGCGGCGGTGGTCGTGCTCGGCCATGCGAATGCGAGCGAGTGCGCGCGCGCGCAAAAGCACCAGAGCATATTGGCGACAGCCGCAGCGCGGCGGCGGCGGACGCGCTGCAAATCAAACACGCGCCCAAGAATAAACAGCTCGCCGCGCGTGCGGGGAAGGCGCAGGGCACGCGATCGACGCTCACGCCCACGCGCACGCCTCGCGCGCGGGGGCGGGGGGGGGCGGTCCAGTCGTGCTGTTGAGGGGTTGACGGAGGAACCGGACCGATTGTTTAGAATCTCCTCTGGTTCAGAACGAATCATTCCACCAGCGAAAGGTGGTGATAGGGTTGTGACGATTTTGGGAGTGTATGTGACATATCAGGCGCAGTCTATCAGAGTTATTTAAAAGATAAAATTCTTTCTGATAAAATAAATAAAAAAATAGAATGTATGGAACAGATATAATACATTATATAATATGTAGTTTAATGTAGTAATGTCATATAAAAATGTAATATGCAGTTGTTAATTTAATTTACTTGCTGCTATGTGTTCATTGTCTTTTTATCATACATGTTTTTTTACCCAAAAAGGCTTTATGCAAATTAAACAATTATGATTGCACTATGTCTAAGATTTCATTTTATATATCATCAGTATTATTTCTGGACAGTAACACATTTTCTGGTATTCACCCCCAACTGAACTGTAAAAACGATGAGTCAAAACTAAGAGAATGGTAAGGATGCACTTGCATTGTACTTTCATGTAATAAGTATCCAGATTTGTTGAGCAACTGCGACTAAGGCAGGAAGATGCGGCGCGCTTTATAATCTGTTTCTCGAGAACGATCGTACGTAACTCCAAAACGGTGCATTTTAGAGCTTTACTACCTGGTTTTCATTGGAGTTGGTCTTCTGCAGGTGTCTGAGATTAAATGTTACAAAGTTTTTGAGCATTAGGAAGAGTGGAAAATGATCACTTTTTGGCAATGAACTTCCAATGGGAAATTGTTACCTGCATTAAAACAAGTGGCATTTGGTTCTGACTTTTGGGTATCCCTGCATGCAAGCATGTTTGATAGGTTCTTGAAATTTTCTCCACTGCATCAGTACCTGACCTGCAGAACACCCTGCTCGTAAGAGGGACTCACGTCAGGTACAAAACACGCGTCTTTAACTCCGTTAAATGACATTTTCTACTACAATTGTATTGGCAAAAAGTTGACCAATGTAATCCGTCTGTGTGCTCTAGAAGTTGTAACATTATTAGAGAAACACTGCATAATCTTCCGCTTCTACAAAGGCGAGCATATACATTCTTGAGGTTCGACTGTTGTAGGGCTATCGCCTCTTCAAGTAAGGCGACCAACAAATCTCAAATTTAGAGCATCCAAAATTTCAAAATGTATATGGTTTCGCTTTTGTATTTTTTCCTTCATACGCGCTAATGGGAAACAGGAGAGACCTGGTTCCGTCTTGAGAGATAAATTTTACAGACATGCGCTAGTTAGTGACTTTAAGAGAGGAATGTGTGCACATGGCTACGTCCAGAGGGAAAGCTACACGGAATGCTCATCTCAAAACATCGATTTCCTAACTTTTCGACTAAGCAGGCCGGCAAACAAAATAAATGTTTAACATTCGGTGTAAGAAATCACACAACGTATACAAACGTAACAAATTTTCAAGCCTAAGTAAAATACATTCTCGGCGATTTACAATCCCTAACTCACCGCCCATAGTTACCCGACGGTTTTGTGAACTGCGATAGGGAATGCATAGATTGATTTGTTGCTCATTCACAGTGTCTCGCCGTCTCGTGTGTTTGCTCGCGCTTTAACTTTTGTCCAGGCACAGATATCGTTCCACAAACTTTTATTATTTAGAATTATTAATTTTCTTACTCGATTTTCTCATCCCAGAGTTTAAGCTTTGAAACGCCATTTCCGAGCTTTAAATATTTCAACTGAACGAATAATCCGAAAATTTCACTTTTGACCGACTTTTCAGCTTTAGGTATAATTGGTGCGTACCGAAAAAAAATGCGTAATGTGTCAATATTGTCAGATTTGACAAAACCACGTTACAGATTGTTCAGAACAGCTGCTGCTAAGCAATTGGTTTTAAATACATCAATCAATATTGTATATTTGCTTATATTCAGTTGAAAAGTGGTAAAAATGGAGGTTCGAAATGTTCTTCTGTGTACTCCCGCGAATGTATTATTTTACCAACATGCTCAACGGCGAGTACGGGGCAATATCCTAGGACGGATTGGTACAATTATATTTAGTCATCCTACTAGAACATATTTCTTACATTATCGATTCCGTGGATTCATATCTGAAAACCCCCACCCCCCAAGAAGCAGTATACAGAGGAACAACTTACTACCCGCGACTGCAATAAAAAAATTAACACTACATAGTGTGTCAGAGCAGGAAAGTTCATAAAGTAAAGGGAAATTAGATATTTGATGAGTAATTGAAATCATGACAGTGCAGCTGCAATTGTATAAGTACAGTATTAAAAAATGTTTATTAATTCACGTAATATAATATTGCTACTCTTAAAAATATATTCACCTCAGGGAAAATTAAAATTCGATCCAAACACCCGCCCATTATTCTTCGCTTAATAACCGCCTCTCTTATCGTTAAGGACAGCGCCCGCCCAGAAAGGGCATCGACATGACGGCGCCAAGCTTAAGCGACAGGGCGGCGGCGTCTCCTCGACCCCTGGGTCGGGGGTGGAGTGGGCGCGCGGTCATCCAGGGGTGCTGGAACGTCATTACCCGCGCTCTCGCGCAACCTGCGCCGGCGCGCGAACGGCCGTCCCGGCGCCTCCTCATGCCATTATGGGATTTTTAAACCGGCCCGTGTTATGGACAGTGAAAATCAGAGGGAATTTCGCCGACATTCTAGACACTCTAGAGTTTATCCAGTTTTGCGGAATTATACCCGCCAAAAGGCGCCCCAGTCGCGCACTTTTAAACAAGATAAAGCTAACGTGCTTTATGAGCTTAGTCTATAACCTTTAAATTTAATATTCCCCCTCTTTTTTCGGCGCTGCTTTGGCTCCCGGGAGAAAGATTTATTTCTGATTACGCGGGACTGAAGTAAATCTGCGTTTAAAACGGGATGGAAGTTTTTAATGGGGACTTTCCTCACCGAGCCGTCCTTCTAAAAGATATTTACAAGTTTAATTAATTGGCGGATGAAATTATCTCGCGCTGCCAAAATGCCTTTGTCTTTTGGAGGACGGAAGGCAATTGGTCGATGGATGCAGGGCTGTCCTAGACGCCGTATTTGGATGTCTCTAGTGGATGAAGTTTTCCTGGATTGTTTTTTTCTTTTTAAAAATGTTTTTTTGTTGCTTAATTTTCTCGTCATTGTCTCGCGGAGAATATGATTGCAAACTCCTGGTTTTCCGCCTTGTAAGATTTTATGTTGAATTTATTTTGGGCGCTGATAGATAATATGTTTGTTATAAATGTAATTGTATGTTATTGTGTTTATACCATGTTATTCAAGATTAATAAACGTAACTATACTACATTCTATTATAAATATATCAAATATACATTTAAGGCATATAAAAAATTAAAGTCTGCAGTTGTCACTGAATAAGCAATAGACCACAGAAAAAATAACGCTGTGTCGGAATATTTGCTTCAAATTAAAACATCAACAAAATTGTTTAAAATACACAAAATAAGATTTATGTAAAAATAAAATTTAATGTTTACAAATTTTGACGTCGTTCTACATATTACACATTATTGAAGGTTCTCCTTGTTCATAATGGTTAAAATTGCAAAACATTGTATGAGTTGTCTAATAAATAATTAAAACAGCGTATAGAAGAAATTAAAATAGTTAACCTATTATACAAGATTCTCTTGGTCAAACGTATTTTAAGACTATAACAGAGTAGAGAGATAGTTATGTTTTACTGCTCGAAAAACGGCAAATGCCGCGGCCAGAAAACCGTTACTGACAGGAATCCTAGTAACCGAAAAGAAGATGGATGAATTCCAGTTTCCTAAATTTAAAAACAAAATCCATCGTATTCAGCTAGGCAAATCTATTGCTTAGCCAAGGAATCGCATGGTTTGGGACCGCAAAAATCGAAATACTGAAAATCGAATGACGGCCAAAATGTTTCCTCTGTCCGTCCGTCCCATCTTGGTGCAACAAACGCTAAGTGGCTAATCCCGTTCCAGCAGAATTTTCTTGCCAAATTGATATTCCCCTATCAATTCAGGCTGACGTTTGCGGTCCTTGACTTAAAAAACTGATATTTCAATTTTGGGGGAATCAATTACATAACGCCCCTAAAAAAAATAGCTCCTGTTTTTTTTTTTTTTTTTTTTGTTTTTTTTTTTTTTTTTTTTTTGAAAAAAAAATGTTGTGTGGAGAGGAAAGACGTTTAAGACAAGGTGCAGGTCTCATATTGCATTGAAGACCGCTAGTTTTTTTGAAAATTGCGAAAGCTGAAAAATAATTCGAAGACTTCCTACCACTAAAAAATTAAAAATTAAGAAGATTTCTTCCTTAATGTGGCAACCTATGATTTCTTAAACGGTATATTGTAAATAAGGTCGATGTAACCAATTCTTTCGAAAATGTTGAGTATTGTTTCGCGTTAATTTTTGCCTGAAATTTACAGGCGAAGGAAGTGTGTGCTGGTTTTAACACCAACTACTTTTTATTATTACTTCCAAAATTCTTTTGAAACCAGACACACTTTTTTATGTTTGAACTGCACATACACCTTGAAATACTTTCCAGATCCTTGTAAATTTTCTAACTATGGTCAGCCCATTCTCTTTATAATTTTGCTATAAAGGAAGCTTTTAAAGTGACCTATTCAACACAAAATTACTACTTCGTTAACAATTCGGAAATTAAAAGCCCTAACTAAGTGTTTTACTATCATAATTTGAAAGCTTCACGAATCTTATAACTGTTATGCTATTAGTTATCATGTTTATTTTCCAATTTAATTTTTCTTTCAACAGCTAACTTGACCTTTTAATCAATGATAAAAAGAAAATAAAATATCACGTTTTTTTTTAAATTTTTCGAAAAACTTTTTTACATTTTCTCATACAGTTACAGTCAGAAAAATGATTTTTGGGAAAAATCATCGTTTCTCATAA